CGGCCGAACCGGGATCATATATGATGCAGGGCCTGAGCCCCCCGTATGGGCATGGAACCTGTTGTGGCTTAAGTCTGAGTGTTATGTGCTGTTGGTCCAGTAAAAAATGTAGGTACGTAGGCAGGGAGGTAGGTAGGTAGGTAGGTAGGTAGGTAGGTAGGTAGGTAGGTAGGTAGGTAGGTAGGTATGTACGTATGTATATATGTACGTATGTACGTATGTATGTATCTAGTTTATGTATGTATGCATGTACGTATGCATGTATGTATCCGTGTATATACATACATTCCCTCCTTCCTTCATTCAATCATTCATTCATGATGTCATTCACTCACTCAGTCAGTCAGTCAGTCAGTTAATGACGCATGTACACACATATATACACACACACACAAGTACATATATATATATATACACACACACACACATCGCATGCGTCATTTTTGTCAAGCTGTTCTGACACTCAGTGAGTGTCGGAGGGATCCGGTCGCAGTCGACTTGCCAGGAGTTGAAGCGCTTGGAGTTGGCCCTGGCGGCTCAGAGCGAGGACGCTTTGGCCATTGCTCTTGGGTCCTGGCCTTAGCGGCCGTTGCGAGGCATGCCGAAGACAAGAGCAGCAACTTCGGGAGCTGTCAGAGCAAAAGGAGGAGATGGGTTTCAGCCAAGCATCCCGAGTAAGACCACGTCTTGCTGGAGTTCTTTGTAGATTTTAGACTCTCAAGTGCTGCCAGGAGCTTGCAGCAGAACTCAAGCGACTGTCTGACTCCCAGAGCTGGCGGAAGGGCGGGCCTGGATGCTGTTGTTGGGCCCGCTGACATTTTAGACACCAAACCTCATACCCTCGATGCATGCCGAACTGAAATCACACGCTTCGTCTTCCCGCCTTACGTTGCTCGTGGTCTGAAAAGCTCCATCGATCCGAAGCCCGGTTAGGCGTCCAAGGCCAGGGTGTGCAGGTGGCTCCACTCCTTCCCCCCTCGCCCCTCCCACTCCAGTTTTTCGGGAACACGGTCTGGCATGTCGATGGTGCCATGATTTTCCTCAAGACCGCGGGAAGGAAAACCGAAAGCCTCCAGAGATTTGTGCTTGTGCTGAGACCGGACAACAGCACCGAGGAGCTGCAGGCGCAGAGACGATGTCTTGCTCTCGAGTTCGTTTGGTCACACGACGGCCGATACACAGGCACAACTTCGAAGGATGGAGGATGAAGTTATCCAAGTCCGGGAAGTGATGGAGACTCTGACAGCAATTCTTCCTCGTGTCGGAAAGTTGCATTGCTTTTCGCACTGAGTAGGCTTTTTTCAGGCACCTTGTGGGGCCACACGGAGCCATTCCCAGTTCCCTGGGCCTGAGTCACGGAAGGTCTCAACTGACGTATCCTGCTAGACGAGGCTACTCGTGAACGAGAAGCCGTGGAGGCCGTCCATCACGCTGTTTGCCGCACGAAGGCCGAGTTAGAGGAGCCCTTTGATTGCATGCCGATGACAGCATAGGCTTTGGGGGTTGAAATGGGGTTCACAGACCGAGGTTGGTGGGACAAGAGAGTTGACAAGAGAGTTGCCAGTTCGGGTTTTGTCCGTCGGGTTTGGTCTGGGGATATTTCGTGTTGCTCTGTCCGTGTTTGTTGCCCTGAGAAGTCAGAGACTTGTGATACAAGTCAAGTTGGAGGACAAAGTGTCCTGGACTTGCATGCAAGAGACAACGCGGTTTTTCATGTCATCCCGGTGAAGACGGAGGTGGTCGGTACTAGTGGTCTGGAAGTGCAACGGCATCGTCTGCCTGAACGGTGGTCGTTTGTCACTCTTGGCGGTCTACTTGCGGTGGTGCGACGAATCATCGGTCTCCAGGTTTTGTTTGCCTGTCTGTTCATGACCTGTTCAGTGTGAATTAGATCAAGCTATTTAACGGTTTTCTACGTCAGCTGCGTCGGGGAGGAGAGTTTATCTCCTCTCTACCAACATTCAGGAGTACCCTCGGGTTCACGAGTTTCCGTGCTTGACCACGACGCTGTACATTGCGGCCCTTTGCTCTTGAGGCTCTTGAGGATGGCCCTGCCATGTTCGACATTTGGTTGGGTCAGTGCAAGCAACGGTGGTCTTGGTGCTGTTGGTTGCGGTGGTCATCATGGTCGTTAGTGTCATTGCCAGCAGATGAATGCTGGCATGGCTGCAGTAGCTGTTGACTCACCAGTTGCTTCATTGAATATGTCTGTGCTTTCACCTTCCCTGAGAAGTCTGGTCGCAGCCAAGCACGCCAGCAAGCAAAGTACAGGTGAATCAGATAGTGAAGATGAAAAGCTGAAATCCCAAATCTCAAATTTCACATGGTTTGCGCATTCCCAGGCCTTTGCGCGGTTCCGTAGAGCACTTGGAGGCCAAAGCGGATGCGGCCTTCGACCGTGTCACTCGCGCCGAAGCGGAAAGCCAGGAGCTGGTCTCACTTTAGTGACAAGCAGCACATTGGTAAGGTTGCTTTCGGGATGGCGTAAGGCTTAGAGCAACGCAAGACATGTTTGCCTTGCCAGCCAAGTGGATGATTGAGTGAATTTCCAGCCTGTGGTCGCATGACGTTGGCATGCAGTCCTTGTGTGCTGTTGCCGGGCCTGGACAACGCAAAAAGTACTGCATAAACGTTATTATCACTCCTTGCCGTTTATGTATGTTTATGTAACGAAACAAAGCTTGCACATTTTTCAGCGAATCACATCGGAATCAGAGTCTGCTGAGCACTCTGACCCACTCTAGTCCAATCAACATTCCAGGACTTGGCGGAATGCATGAGGCAGATCTCCGGAGAGCTAGCAAAGTTGCATCTGGACCTGGACGGTTCACAGTCCCTTGTCAGCAACTAGCCGCCGGTGTTTTCCAGAGACGGTTCCGGCCCCCCCAGCCCAGGCAGGCGCTCGCCGAATCCAATCGCCGGGCTGGGGAGGCAACAGCAGCCGCTGCAGCAGCCGTCGCGGAGAGCGACGCCAGGCACGTTGGCTTTAGCAGTGACCCCACACGCTATACCATGCTCATATCATGCGGTGTTGATTTTCGTCTGTCTTATTTTACCGCCGTATGCGATTTGGCTCTGCCATGCAGATGTCTCTCTTTGTGTGTGTGTGGCGCAAGTCTCACGAGCGGCAAGGCTGTCTAAAGCACAGAGCCAGCAGAAAGAGTCGGAGAATCGCACCTCAGCTTTAGACTGGACACGATTTGAACTGTGAGGCCTACAATTTGTACCGAATGCATTAATTACTGTCCAGCATGTCAGACCTTTCGGCGATTGTACTTGCAACTTCTGCGACAGTGAGCTGAGGCTTGGAATTTCTTTCAGGCACAGCGGCAAACCTGACACAGTGCTAGCTGCTGCCGTCAAGCAGTCGCTTCGTCGTTGTCTCGGCCAGATGACTTAAGATGCCCTGTGAGCAGTTTTCCTATGGCCGTCATGCTCAACGGAAGCCCTACGATGATTAGCTGATCTGCTTTGACCTTTGCCGAGACACGGGATTGTGCGCATGCTGTGTGTAGGCGAGATAATCAAGCTGAAGCTTGCCTCTTGGGCAGCACTGAGACAAAGGTCAGTGGTCCTGTTGTTTTTCAGATATGCTGGTTTAACGCAGTCATGCGGCTTGGTCGAATCGCGTGAGTGCACACGATGCGGACGCCTCCGTGCGGAATAGACCAAGGAAAATGCAACGCTGCACAGGGATTTGCAGCAACAGTCTGCAGCTGCTTGCTTGCGATTCATTCTGCTCGTGGTTTGCGTGGGTCTGCTGGAAACGGCCCGGTCGCAGCATGTCTCCTGACAATGAATTGCAGCTAGAAGTCACGGAAAGGTAGGTACTTGGTGCTTATCAGGAGATTTCCCGGCTGGAGCAGGAGGGCCGTGGCTTCCAGCAGGAGGTTCCCAGCGGGTCTGTGTTCGCAGTCGGAGGTCGACCCCCGCCTCTGCATTGCAACACCTGTCTTTGCAGGCAGCCAGGAGCTCCAAGCAAGCGGAGGCATTGTTCCTTGGAAGCAATGTGCAATGAGAGTGTTTTGTTTTGCCTCTTTGCAGCGCTTGGGCCCACATAAGGCGCTCGGAACTTGCTAGCCAGCTCGCACAGCTACTTGGATCTGGAAGCGTTGGATCTATCAAGTACGGCCTAAGTAATTCGTACGACGAGGGCGACGTCGACTTCGACAGCTGCTTAATGTAGTCGACCCAGTCGTCAGTAGCAGCAGAAGTCGTAGAGGAGGAGTGGGAGTGGGAATAGGAATAGAAGCAGGATAAGTAGTAGTAGTAGTAG